GATTCGTCCGGCAGCCGAGGTTGCGCTCCACAGCGCACCACTCCTCAGTCTCGGGCTGAGAGAATCGTGTGTTGCCTGCGAAGGGCTGGAGTGCACGCCTCCATCGTCCAACCCTCTTCCTGTACTCCCACCTTGCCAAGTATGCCCATATCCACCAGACGATGCCAGCTCACGACTGGAGGACGCTTTGCGCAACGACTTTGAGAAGAGGTTGGACAGTCGGCCTGCAGAAGGTCCTTTTGCGTGAGTTGGCGAGATCGCCTCGGGCTGATACGCGACTCCATGGTCCATGGCGACTGCTCGAGGTGTCGTCTGCGGTGCTAAACACCGATGTGGGTTGGAATGTGGACCGCTGCTGCCGAGTATCCACAATCAGGTTGAGTCGGTCAAGAAGTGGTGTGTCGACTGCTTCAATCCTGGCAGGAGGTCCAATGATTTGCCACTCTGCCTCGAGCACCACACGCTTGATGACTTCGTACGCCTACACTCCAGTCGCCGCGCCTCTACCGGAGCTTTGACGAGAACTTGCGGTGTCCTGGCCGTGTAAGGCGTCACGTAAGCTGATCAGGTGAGTCTTGTTTTGTGATCTTCGGTATTGAGTGAGAAGCATTTGTGCAGACCTGTGCAAATAAGAATGCGGCCCAAGCTTGGGCGTCCGAGAGAGGGGCCAAAGCTGAGGAAGCGCACGGATCCAATAGCTGGAGGGGGCCCGACTCGAATTACGCAAGTTGCAGGAAGCACGTGAAGCGCGTAGTCGATCGTGGGGATGTTAGAGATAGACGGAGACCCAAGGAGTAGTGAGCCTGTTGGAATAAGTGTACTGTAGTTGAAGTGAGCTTCAGAAGCCTATGCAGCGTGTGCGGGAGCGAGGTGGAACAAAGATGGCTGCTGCTGCGAGTAACGTTGCCGCTGCCGCGGTGGGGAAGCCAGGGATCTCTCCTAAAAGTCACAAAGTCGCGTCATCCACGCAAAAGTTGTTGGGCTGTAATGAGTGATAGAAGGCCG